AAACACGAGATCAATCGTTTTAACACAAAAAATGCTGAATTGATACAAATCAATCGATCGACACAAGTTTTCAGTTTCAATCAGCAGAATATTTTGAATCGGGACAATCGATTCAAAAAGATGAAAAGTACGAAAAAACTTCAACTGATGATATGAATCTTGCTCTGATACCAATTTTAGTGTGTTACAATTGATTAGAAGTCTTAATCGATTCAGAAAAGTAATCAAATACATGAGATCTAAATAAGACCTGATTGGTTCATTATATTGTCTGAAGAATCCACAGAGAGAAAGAGATAGAGAGAGAGAGTACATAAAATTGACTGGATGTTCGAATCATTACACCAATTCTACGTACTTATCCTATTTATAGGATGCAACGGACTCAAAAAGTACAAGGACTAAACATGACATAACGAAACATACAATGCCTTGTAAATAGATACTATGTCGAAAGTACAACTGCTTTCGACACATACAAACAATAATTGAAAGATTCAACTTTCGACTCTCACTAAACAACTTTCGACTCTACAGTATTGTTTCCAACCATATTACGAGAAGTCCAAGCTTTCCACACATTTTCAAAATTCGATCTCACCACTACTAACCAAGGGGAGTCTGTTCCAATTCTTCCTTTTTATTTTTATGTTCTTTAATTGTTTTAGTATGCACTGGGGACATTGCATCATTTAAGTGTAGGGTAGGGGGTTAAATCTAGGAATACAAGCATTCTGATTTTAAAAAAAATGAAAATGGCTAGGATTTAAAAAATTATTAGAAATATTTGAACTAATAATCTAAAAATTGAATCTAGTTAAAAAAAATTGTTGTGTTGAGATCTAGGTTGCTAGTGTTGTGCGGGACGATCTGATGCGAGTTTCATTGTTTATTTTAGCCAATAGATGTTTTAGTGTATTTGTGGCTTCCCTATCTAGTAAAATCATGGAACAAAACACGACCTTTCTTAGTTTAAGGGTCGCAATATGTTTAGCATCGTGTACCAAATGTATCTAGGAGAGCTTATGTAGTCATTGCACCTTAGACTTATACTTTTAACCAATATGGGTTGAAGATATGTTCCCTTGCTTAAGCATATGTTTTTATAGGATTTTTAGTTTTGAGTGAAAAAAGTGATAAAATGAAAAAAAGTTGTGAAAAAGAAAAAAAGAGAAAAAAATAGAAAAGAAAAAAAAAGTTGTAAAGTGAATAAAAGTTTGCAAAGTATGTAGATTTTGAAGAAGTGAAGAATAAGGCGAAATGTGCTAAGTTATTTATTGTATTTTTATTTTCTAAGTTATTTTTCTATATGTATGCTTGGGAGTTTAACCAAAAATACTTTCAGGTTAAGAAAGTTTTCTGGGAATGGATTCGGAGGGATGCATAAAATGAGCGTTGTCCAAAAGAAGTGAGAAAGTGTTTATGAAGATTGTGAGTATTTAGGATTGGGGAAGTTCTTAGGTAAATATAGACATAAATACATGTATTGAGGTCTTGGAGTAATGGAGAGGCTCAAAATGGATTGTTTTGTGTGATGTTCGTAGCTAAAGTCTTTATATGATGATAATAAAATCAGTTTTGCTTGAGGGCAAGCAAATGGCAAGTGTGGGGTATTTTGATATGTGCATAATTAACTACATATATAATAAATATTTCTAATACTTTTAGCTACAATTATGCTTAATATGGAACAAAAGATACTTAATATGCTTAAATTGTGTTTTGTAGCTACGAAGACTTGCTCGAGACAAAAAGGAAACATACGAGGAGCTGGAAGCAGGAAACAGGAGCTAAAACAAAAGAAGAAACGAAAAGTTCTAAAGACCACGTCGTGGTGCCTTAACCACAATGTGGTGATTGGAAGAATCGTGACCCTTATGCTGGCGTGGCAGATACGAGATTAATTCGAAGACCACGTCGTGGTGGCGGTCAAACACGACGTGGTGGTCAGATTTCCTCAATTATAAAAACCCGGACATTAGGTCGAAATTAGAGGATGCATTCGGTTCCGTGAGGTTAATTGCTACTAATAAACCCTTAGGAACCCAGAGGAAGTCGAAATTCAAGTGAAGCTCAAGGATTGAAAAAGATTTAGAAGATAGTCAACATTTATCTAGCTGGTTTGCTTATTAAACTTATGTCTAGCTTAGTTTACTTAAATCTAATGTGTTTTTCTGCTACAATGAGAGATGCTAATCACTTTTTACTTTTGTTTGGTGAAGATGAGTTTCATACTTATGTGTTGATTTCTATATTGGATGATTATTATTGACTTTACTTGTGTTTGATATATATACACCCTAGCATGTTTTAGTTCTAGTTTATGTTGCTTATAAATCAGATTTTGTGTGTCAATTGATTATATTAATTGCATGAATCTATCTTCTGATTGTTTATGATCATTAAATAGTTAGAGCTAGGATTAATCACATCTTAGTTTAAGTAATTAAAGCTAGTAACTTTAATTGTGTTATAGAGCATAATTAGTATTAATTTGTGTTTGGTTGCTTGAATTGATCATAGGAGAGTAACTCATATAAATCATAGTCCACTTGTGTTATTATCAATTTTAGTGTTTAACTTGTGCATGATCATTGCTTTGTCATTCATAAATTGGTAGTCCTAGATATTTGATCATAATAACTAGATAATTGGTAATCAATATAATTCATCCATAAGAAATCAACCATAAGAGAAAGTGAAATTGGATCTAGGCAGAAGTATTCTTTTAATTCTTGAAGTTTAGTGGTTTTCATTGCTTGCTTGTTTAATAGTTTAATTAGAAATAGTTAAGTTAATTAATTGAATTCCGTTCCCTGTAATCGACACCCGACTTACCTGAGCTATTCTATAAACTGACTAGGTACACTGTCTCTAGGTGCATAGATAGTAAAAGTTGGTTAGGTTATAAATTTTAAACTAAGTAAGTACTTTCTGCACGCATCAGCTGGCGTTACATTAAACACATGATGACAACTCGTTTTCTATCTTGTTTATTAGAGTAGTAATGGACATTGTTGGTCATGTGTTTGAGTCAAGTTTGAAAAAAAAATAAAGATATACAAAGTTTGAAAAAGATGAAGATGCAAAATGTTGATTAACAGTTAAAAATAGTAATTGGTAGAAAGTATGTGAGGAAATGAAAATTTGGAAATGTAAAAAAGTTTTTTTTTATTTATTTAGTTTTTTTTGGCGCTCTGAAAACTCTAAAAAAACAAATAGTCTTCTTCTAATAGATTTTAGATGTTTGGTCTATCTCGTCTTCTTTAGATGTTTGTGGATGTGGTCCGAAGACTGTAAATATTTTACCTCTTAAAAAACAAACAAACACTTTAGTTTTTTATATTCGTAAAAAAACAATAGAAAAACAATTACTTTTGCAAATATAAGCATATAACTTGCACAATATGTTGGTTTAAATTAAGGTTCTTCCATTCCTTATTTCATCTCTAAACTTTCCACTTTTGGAATAATTTCCAAAACATTTGAAAAGAGTTTAAGTCATTCTTAATCATTAATTTTTCAAAGTACTTTATTTTAGTTATTATATTTTGTTTAAACTATCATTGGTTATTAAACTTGTTTATTTTTCTTCATTTTAGTCACTATAACTGGTGATAGTTGTTTTATAACATGAAACAAGTTCGTCAATGTTATAATTAATCATTAAACCTTTTTAGGTGTTTTATTTTAGTAATTATATTTTATTTAAGCTACGATTAGTCACTGAAGTTGTTTAAAATATTCATTTTAGTCACTCTACTTTATTATTATCATCTATAAAAAATAAAAAAATAAATAAACAGTAATTTTTTTTCTTTGCTCCGCAACTAAATTTGTTATAATTATTTATTTTAGAGTAAATAATACGAATGATTCCTATGATTTAGGATAGTCTGCGTATTAGTCCTTAACTTTTTTAACTCAGACAATCCTCATGACTTTAAAAAAACCTATTTTGTCATTTTCCATCCCATCGTTTTTGTCGCCAGAAGAAATGCACCCAAGACGATAATTAATTTCAATTACTCCATTCTCTGCATTTAAAATGTTATCATTTTGATGTCTACAACGTTAATGTCATCTTGGTTCCCTCCTTATATGTATTTTGGATTTCTCGACATCAAATGAAATAATCGATAATAATTACTTACCATAATTAAGGCAACCATCAAACCTCTTACCTCCATTCTCTTTTGTCTAACTTGTTTGTGTTTTCAGTTGATTCACACATACCAAAATATTTTTCTGTATTGGGCTATTCGATACGAAAACTTCCTAGAGAGGTCACCCAAAGTGAAACTATTTTTTCGATGATGATTTGGTGCATTTCTACAAGCAACAATAGTTATGTGATGGATAATGGTAAAATAGTTTTTTTTTAAATCTGTTAGGACCGTTCGAGTTAAAAAAAAATTAAGGACTAGATATATAGACTAACCTAAATCACAAGGATTATATGCATAATTTACTCTGAAATAATTGATGTAACAAGTTTAGGTGTAGAAAAAAGAAAATTTCTTTTTTTAATTTTTTATAAATGATAAATAAATAAATAAATAAAACTAGAATGATTAAAATAATAAACAAATTTCAATGACCAATAGTAACTTAAATAAAGTATAATGATTAAAATAAAACTTTCAGAAAAATTCAATGATTATCTCTAATAACGTCATTTGATGTTATACATCGGTTATTACCGGTTAGAATGACTAAAATGAATAAAAATAAAGAAGTTCAATGACGAATGATAACTTATATAAAATATAATGACCAAAATAAAACGCACATAAAATATCCGCAAAAACAAAATTTTAGAGTTTCTTTCCCCTTTAAAAATGTAACTAAGAGCACAATATAATAGTTCGAAGGTTGTAGACCTCTTTCTCACTCAAATTTAAACCATAACTCATTTTCTCATCAAAATATGTTCTCTGTTAATATTTTATTTCTGCCTTATTACATCAAATATAATTCTACATAAACATATACAACGTGCCATAAGTTATATATATACACACACCAAAATCCACATCTTACAAGAAAAAGATGAGAGTAGAATGAATTAAAATATATACATGCACATTCTTCGATGAAATATATTGTGCATCTTGATTTTCTGATAACCATGGTCTTTCAATAAAAAATAATAATTAATGGTTTATAGCACCAAATTCACTTCAGTGAACATGTCATTTTTCTTGTTTGCCTTGGAGGACGAAGAGGTTGCGGGAAGCAGTGCACCAACGATCATAGTAGTGATGGAGGTTAGGCCAATCGGAAGATGGACAATGAGCGTAATGGTGGAGCCATAAAGACAATACTTTTTCTTGTTCTTGTTCATGTTTTAAGGACTCAATTAGCTTTCCTAACATGTTTTCAAGCTCGGCTTTTTCATTGAAGGTTAATACAGGTGCTTCTACACCAATTGTCGCTCGACACAAAAATGGTAGCCATGACATTAATAACTTCGTTTTGCTTTCCTTGATTCCTCCATGTCATCATCTTGAACACCCATAGATACTGCCTCCTTAAACAAGTACACTGCAGAGTATGAACATTATATTAACAACATATCATATATTGTACTTCAATCACGTATACGGACTATGTAACATAATATGGCTTCAAAAATAATTATAATAATTTATGGGCTATTTGGTAAGTCTGTTAATTATTCGGGCCATTTGGTAACATCAAAACTAACCTGCCAACAGTTAAGAATGCTCTGGATCACTCATAGAATAATCAGTGTTGTAAAAATTAGTTTAGACGGTCGATTAATCGGCCTCCAACAGTTTACGATTAATGATAGTCGGTCATATTAATCCGATCACGATGATTATTTAAAATATCAACAATTGTTTGTAAAGTAATGTAATATTGTTTATAAGAATATGTTACTTTAAACTATTTATTATTAATAAATTTAAAAATTGCTCATTTGAATTTTTTTGAATTATTGTAGAAAATAGTATTTTGTTTTTTTAGTTTATTTGACAGGTTGGTTTAGGTTTTACATTTAAAGCATTTAAGCCTTTTTAACTACTTTAAAAAATATTTTTTGAATACTTTTTTATATTTATTTGATATTTTGATTTAGATTTTAGATTTAACATTATATTCAAATAAACAAATTAAAAATATTATATTGATAATTTAAAATTTCTACCAATAATGTAACCATATTTTACATTTTATAAAATATTTAAATTAGCAAAATTAAAAATATATTATGTTGAAATTACTAAGTTAAGATCTAAAAACATATTTAAATTAGCAAATTTTAAAATATATTATGTTGAAAGTACTAAGTTAAGATCTAAAATTATAATTATTTTTAATCATATCATTTAATCTCCTTATATGCGATTTCCATGTGAATAAAACTAAATATAATTTTCGATTTAGTGTTACTTTTATCTTTATGCTTAATTAAATTGGAAATAACTTATTCAATCTTTTTTTTATTTGGACAATGATGATTATATACAACATTAACTATTGTTTGTAAGACAACATAATAAAATTTATAATTATATGTTATTTTAAACTATTTATTATTGTTAATTTTGGAAAATTTTCAATTATTATAAAAATAGTTTTTGGTTATTTTTAGTCAATTTGACATTTTGATTTAAGTTTTACAATTAAAACATTCATTTTTTTAAATTATTTTAAAAAATATTCTTTAAGTTTACTTAATACTTTGATTTAGGTGTTGTATATTTAACATTATATTTATATAAAAAAATAAATATATGCTATTGATGATTAAAAAACTCTACGATTTAATCTCATAATATTTTATATTTAATAAGATTTAATTCAATAAACTAAATATAGTATATTAAAAATAAGAGTTAGTAGGTTTTAATTTTAAATGTATATAATGCAAAAGAAAATAACTTTATCTATAATATATAATATAATAGATAGAAAATATAATAATATAATAATGAATACTACCATTCATCTAATAATTTTTTATATCTATCTTCTTATCCGTATTAATATTAAATGATAACAAATGAATTAAAATACTATTAATTTAATTAAATATGACATATGTGTCAACATATTAATATGTGGATAGAATGATGAATATAAAAAACTAAAAATAAATAAATAAAATAAGAGGAAATTTAATTTATTTATAATAATAATAAAAGATTTGTTAACATTTTTAACATAAACGTTTAAACATATTATGATGATCTGTTGTAAACATCTTAACTTGATATAAAATTATGACTACAAGGGTTATACAAAATTTAAAAATAGTATTATTCATGATATTTTTAAGGAAAATGAAGATGTGGTTCTGATACGAACATTCGAGTTCATGTGGGTAATGGAGTTAAAAGTCAAAGACGGTAGAATCCCATACCTGAAAGTTTGACCAACGAACCTTGTAGCCGCTGCTGAGCCGAGAGAGCCACACAAGCCAACTTAGAAGCCGAAGCCCATTGCCGCACAGCTTCATCGGCGCTTCCACACGCCACTAGTTTCTCCGCCAGCCAAAGCAACTCAGCTGACAACTTCTCAGCCGAAACCCGCAACCGCGTTTTCGGTTTCGTGAACTGAGTCCAAGCAAAATCGCCGTAATGGCCAACCGTTTTGATCACCCGGTTCAACCCAAAGTAGCCACCGCCCTTTTTCGTTACATCTCCACCGGTGGCTGTATTTTTCTCAATATCATACTTCGACGCCGCCACCGCCGCCGATTGCAGTTGTTGAAGTGCCCGTGAAAACGCGGCGGAGAGAACCTTGGCGTTCACTTTCCGTAACGGCCGTAGCCCTCCTCTAGATTTTCATTCATCAATTTCTCGGCGTACGACCGGACGATCTCGTACTTCCTCGAACTTACGGGTATTTCGTTGATTATAGCGAGCAACTGCGTCAGTGCACGCGCTATGCACGTTTCATCCACTAAGCTACCATCGGCGGCGTCATTACCCTTTAAAAATGGAACCCATGGATGAGTACCAGAATCGGAATCCAATTCGGAATCGGCGTTGTGATTTTGATTTTGATTTTGATTGGGGTGAAGAGAATAAGAGATGAAGGAGGGGATGACTTTGAGGAAGAACAGGAAGGCGGTGATTAGAGTATAACGGATGATATGGAATAGTTTGAATTTGTGGGATAAGTTTATCAAGGTTTTATCGCTGTAGATGAATAAGGGTAACAAGATGTTACGAAGAAGCAATGGAGCTAGAGGTGTTGGTGCTGTTTGAGCTTCTACCATTTTCTTTTGCAGGAATTGATCTGTAAATGGCGAATTGATAGGGGGAGGAGCGGAGAAGGGGATGAAGATTTAGTGGATAAGGAGACGAGAGGAAATGAGAAGATTAGAAGGCGCCAACAGATCGAAATGGAGAGGCGTGTGAAGATAATAATTTTGTTACGTGAAAAAAGTTCCTAGGGTTCTAGCAGGAAGAGGACAATCAGATGGAATA